TAGTTCAGCTCTATTAAATAATATTAAAGGGGTCATATGATGTTGCTAAAAAAACATTATTTTGTGTATTTGGTGTAATGAAATGTGTTCATACGGTTTAAGGTTCAAAAAACACATTATTTTCCACATACTGTACATTATTGTTTCTCCTCTATGCCCCGCCTTTCTGAAACGCGTAGATTTTTACAAAGCTCATCATTCTGAACAGCGAGGTGTGCTCTGATTGGCCAGCTATCCAGTGTATTGTAATTGGCCAAATACCTCAAGCGTGTGACGGAAATGTTAAGCGCTTAACATATTGTGATGCTGTGTCCCGGAGCGACGAGACAACACCAATAAAATCCATTACAAACGAGGCATTTGTTGCATCCAGTGGGGACATAATTACTGATTATAATGACTTGTACTGTCTTTTTACGTGTTGCGTTGCATATCGTGCCGCGTAAACATGAAACCATGTTGTGATCAGAGAAACGACAAACTACAAATGCTACTCTACACTGCTCAAAACTCGTGTTTGAATCATCAGTGTCAAATTTTTTAAATATAAAAAACTTACTTACAGCCTGTGAGTCAGAAGCACCAGACTGTCCTTGCAAAGTTGGAACTGCCCCACTTTATAGAAACAGCCTTTGTGTGTAGACGGCATTGTAGGCTACTTTCCCAGGTTCAGGAAACAAGTCCTCCGTAAAATGCGTTGCACACATCTGAATATTTGGGTTGAAGTGTTCTGGAACAGTGTTGTAAATACAACTTAACCACTGTTGTTCTAGTCATGTCCTCTTTTGGAAGACCAAACAAAGTAGTTTTGCTTTCACAACGAAACACACAGCGGCTTCACGACATGGCGGCGGCGGCAACAATACTACAGCGAGAATAAAAGTTATGCCTTCTTTCTTTGTGTGAACATTTGGGCAGTGTAATGCAAATCTTCCCACACAGTGACGTAGACATGTGGGGGCGTGTTTAAACGAGGCATTCTAGGGGGGCGTGGCAGAGTCGTAACTTTGATAAAGAATATCTCTTTGGGTTTGAGACTTTAGTCTTTGCAACTTTATGGATCTTATCTATTCATGAACAGCTTGTAACACTCCAAAGAGAAAGGAAAACTTGAAATCGCATCATATGACCCCTTTAACAGACAACTTTTAATTTTAATAATATATTAGCAAATGCTGAAATTAACATGAATGTTTTAGATGTGTTTTTCATTGTTAGTTCATGTTAACTAATGTAGTTAACTAATGTTAACAAATGGAACCTTATTGTAAAGTGTTGCCACATTTTCTATAGTAATATTTATAATAACTTGAAAAGTAAATTTTATTTAGTAATTTTATTCATTGTATTATTATTATTATTGTTATTATTATTATTATTATGTGGGAGTAGCTCAAAATTATCATATTTTAGCACCTGCAAGACTATCCTTTATTTTAAAAGCCAGAATTGAAAGAGAGAGAGACTAAACGGAGGGAGTGTGCGATGCCATTAATGTGAGACTGACAATGGAGAGATACTATTATAAAGAGCAATCCCGCTTTGTGCTAGTGCATTGAGACATATCCTGTCTGAGTATCATCGCAGTGGATTCAAGTTATGAGGCCTTCAGCGGTGGATAAGAAGGGAAGCTAGAGAAAGCGTCAATTTCCACAGCTTCTTAAAAGTAGGGCAGCAGGATTCACAGCGGGAGTCTGGGAGGACGTCTGATTGGCTGAGGTAAAACAACCGTGTTTAATAAGCAGGGCTCAAGCACCTCCCACCAGAAGTGTTGAAATATTCAATGATCATGACACATGAGCATGAGCCCTGCCACTAACATCAATACCCAAGAGTCTAGACAATTTATCAAGGAAACCTTGGGCGAGGATGTCAAGGACATGCTCTGCTACTCCTTAAGAATAATCACTTGGTACCACAGCCTTCAGCATTCAGTTTAAGCTTACTATACAGTAGCTGAAGACTTTCTGGATACCTAACCCACACTTAAAAATAATAATTGAGTATTAATTTAAATCATTACACAAATAATCTTTTTTATTTCTTAAAATTTGTACAATGTCACTGCCTTCTCAAGTATTACCACATTAACAATGAACACCATCCACTAACCAGACTTCTTAAATCTATTCTGAAGAGTTTCTATCATTTTACCAATAACACTAGTTTAGGGACCAATTCTCACTATTAACTATTTGCTTATTAGCACGCATATTACTGGCATATTTGCTGTTTATTAGTACTTATTAATGGCTTTTTCTGCATGATCATATTTTTTAACTTAACAACTACCTTATTAATAATTAATAAGCAGCAAATTATGAGTTTATTGACGCAAAAGTCATGGTTAATAGTTAGTTAATAGTGAGAATTGGTCTACAAAGTAAAGTGTGACTATTGTACCATTTAAACCTCTTTACAAACAAACAACAACCTGAAATTTAGCTTTTCTTTTACTTTTCTTTTAAATAAATGTCACATGGTTTGATATATTGTTTTATAATGCAATGATATTCATATATTTTAATTGTAAATACAAGATAAACAGGAATCATTTGACATTTACTGACCAACACAAACAACTATGGCTGCACGATTATGACAAATTATAATTGTTATTACTTCCAATGAAACTGATCACAATTATTTTGATCAATAGAATTATAATTTTAAAAAGTAGCATTTGTATAACTAGATACACATTCAAAGTAAGCTGAGAACTATTTAGCAGCATGATAACCAAAACTGTTATTGAAATGCTGAATAAATTATGCTGAATGCAAGCAACACTGCAGCACTCAAGATAATAATCACTGAAGCTGTCACTGCAAGTTCACACAGTTTGACGTGACTGTTTTGAGTCCTGAAGTTCATTGTGAGTTCACTCCCTGAGTTTCTCACAAACACTCCTGTTACAATAAATGAAGCTGTCCATGCTGCAGAATTAATCTCTTATTCACTGTCTGTGCCTTAAAGAATTTATATGAACGCTGCAGGTTTGTCGCACCGCTCTCTTGCAGTGATATCTAGTGAATCCAAAATACTCTCAAATTACATTTGATGCTTTGTTTTGGGGTTTCAAGGGATATTTACACATATTTAACCATCTGGAGCTGTTCATTTTGGGGTCACACTTTTGCTGTTCATCAGTCAAAACAGACTATTTATTTACCTATAAAATAATAAATTATGAAATTATTTTTATTATTCAAATGAATGCAGTATTTAAGTTACAAATAGAGCAAAAGTATTTAAAATCTAATGAATACAGGCAGATTAATGCTATCTGGTGGAAAGAAAATCATCTATAATACCATTACATACAGCCCTATATAAAGGGCTGTGTGTTTCTTGTTGCTGAGAACAATGTTTTCAGACATAATTTAGTTGTATTAGGTATTTTATTTGGATATATATTTAGACATGATCAAAGACAAAATCAACAAATGTTAAGTGTCAGTTTTTGCATTATTATAGTCAAACCTGAACATGGAAAAGGGATTTTGTTACCCATAATCTAATTCAAACATAAAATGCTTGATCAGAGCTTGATCTATATGGCTCTAATCTGATCTAACCACTTAGTTGAGTCTCCTATTCAATTCATTTTTGGTATTTCCTATTAAATTCCTATGGCAGTCATTTTTGACCATGAACAGTACAAGTGTGACTCTTTTTTAAAGACCATTTAGCATTTGATGACCATGATTTGATAAGTTTAACAAAAGTCAGCAAGTTTTGTGCCATTCCGATGAAGTAAAATACTTAAAAAATCAATCACTAATGTCTAGCACCAAAGAGTTAATGGTGAAGAATACAGTTTCTGCACTAACATTGTAACCTAGCAGAATTACAATAATAACACATATTTTCAAAAACCTTACATTCATAACGCCCTTACATTTATTCTTATCCTTACAATATCTTACTATTTTATCTGGGGTTTGACAGTAAAGAGCTAACATGGGTGGCAAAAATATAAATTTAGATGATTTATTCTCTTCCAGGGCAGTCCGCCACCATTCACGAGAGTACCACGTAGATGTAGAACATGCATGCACTGCACCTTGTTTACAAGCAGAGGAATGCACTCGCATGTGACACTGTCACACAGGACACGTTTTACCTGCTCAATATATTATAATGATTTTTATGTATATTTGAGTTTTAATAGGTTTTCATGTTGTCTTAGCCATTTTATTCCTCTTTTAACCATTTTAATGTGTGTATGTCTTTAAGTGACTCTGGGTCTGCCCGTCATGTGACTCATCACATTTGGGGCTAGAAACACACTGGATTTCTTATGGACTGTTTTATAGTATGGTGCAAATGGACTCCATGTTTTTAACAGCCCAAGTTATTCTAGTTTTATTGTGTTGTTTTAAGTTCCCTGTGAATATTGTAAATACACATTTGATTTTCACTTTTAAATTGTTGTCTGACTCATCTTTTTAAACACTCCCAAGATCTCACACAGTATAATCTGACCCCATTTTAACAATTGTAAATTCGACCAATAGGGCCGAACGATACACTCAGGTGCCATGGTACTCTTGTGAACTGCGGCAGACGGACCCGAAAGAGAAGAATTGTTGAATAAAGTCATTATTTTTGTGTTCTTTGCAGGGTCAGAAAGCTCTTGGATTTCATCAAAAAATATCTTTATTTGTGTTCCATTACACACCAGAGTAGACCTAAATTAAATGCTGTAATCGACACTTAATTGTAATTATCTAGTACTACAATTGTCCAATCAACACGTAATTGTCCAGTACTAGAGAGTTTCAATAAAAGACAGAATACACATGTAATAAGACAACAGTATGCTCAGGAAAAAAAACATTCACTACATCTCTCTTTCCTCTTTGTGCCTTTTAGAGCCACAACTGAAGCAGGTCCACAGCATCAGGGTGAAACTAAGTTCAAACTATCACCTCAGCCTTGAACAAAACTCCCTGCGGAGAATCAAACACAGTCTGAGGGAAAGAGAGCCGACTCACCGGCTGCACAGTCTGCTTCATCTTCACCATTTTCGCAGTCTCTTTCCCCGTCACACCGCCAGGACAGCGACACACACTTCCCTCCGCAGTCAAACTTCTTTGGTGGACACGTCTGTTTGACTGCTGTGGAACAGAAAGAAATGTTTGAACAGGTTAGAGTGAAACATGAGTAAACCGACTGGCATCGAATCATTTTGTTGATCTCACTACGTTCCTCAGATCTGTGCTGCCTGTCATAAAGAGAAATGTGAGATCGCAAATGTGATCTAAACATGCGTGGCACCTCTAATTTTCAGCATGTTTTTGCTTTTTGAAGTCCATTTATACTCCCGGGAGCTTTTCTGGCTGCAGATGCACATCAGAATGAGAAAGTTGGGGCATTACTGACTTATAGTAGTGTAAGTACTCATTAGACAATTTTATGACAGAATGACAGGTTTCCATCCATAATTGTTGATGTGTGACACAAATCATGGTGTTAAAGCTTGGGTAGGTGACTTCAGATAGGCTAGCAAAAGCAAGCTAGCTTTGAAAGCATAAGATCCCACCCTCTCTGCAAAATCAGTCTCCAAAGCCACGCCTCTTCCAAAACACATGATCGCGCACAGGCAAACCAGAGACTAACAGCGACACGATGAGAGACGGCATCAATGCTGTCAGATCACCTCATGTCTCATTCACCGGTGAGAAAACATTACAGTACAAAGCGCATAATATTACAATAATAACCCCTTCCATTCTCACTCGGTCTGCAATAGCGTAATGGAATGCTCTGATGATGTATTATGTCTGCGTGAACAGGGTGCATGGAGGTATGCAAATACATACATTGACAAGCAAGTAGGACAGTCTATCATAGTCAATGGACCGAGGAATAGGATTGGACGATCAATTTATGGTCCTACACCTTCCACAGATTATATAAACACATTTAGACCACTTAACTTGGTGATTGCTATCAGGATGTGAAGAGACTTTCAACCAGCATAACAAAAAACGCCTTTAATATCATATTGCATTTCACATGCAGCTTTTACAGTCGAACACACAGTAGACTTGGTTCACAATTGATTCCAGTTGTTGGAAGTTATAATGTAGCTACGCCAAGCGACAACTTTCCGGTCTCTCTCGTGAAACCAACACGGAAGTGACTAAAACTGCAATTCATCGACTGGCCGCTAGAGGTTGGCTCCAAAAGGGAGTCAGTCCCATAGACTCCCCATGTTAAAATGCCCAACTTTACAGCAGAAAAAAATATGTTTACAGCCTGGTACAAAAAGTGGTTTTGGTCGATATAGCTAATTTTGCCCTTCATGACAACTGTGAGGGGGGTGAATTTTTTTATAACTCATCCGTTTAAATTATATTAAGCCTTAAAGGGTTAGTTCACCCAAAAATGAAAATTAGGCTGCGTTTTACTCACCCCCGAGGCATCCTAGGTGTTTATGACTTTCTTCTTTCAGACGAATCCAGTCAGAGTTATATAAAAAATTGTCTTTGATCTTTCAAGCTGTTTAATGCCACTCAGCGGGTGTTGCATTGCTTCAGTCCAAAAGAACTTAAATAAAAATCGCTCATCCATAAAAAAAGTGTATGTAAGTTTAATCCTGTCATCCAAATGAGATCCTAATTAATTAATGCCAGATAAAACACTGCTATGATTGTAACAAAAATTATTATACCTTATAGTTATATATTGTTATTGTTATATTAAAAAAGAGAGATATTTAACTTGGGATCTGATCACAAAAAAAAACCACTTAATTGCTAAAACAGTTAATGGGATACACAAAAATGAATATTGTCCTCCTATACTCACCCTAATCTTGTTTCAAACCTGTGTGGCAAAAAAGAAAATAACAGAAGGTGAGTAAATGATGATAGTATTGTAATTTTTGATTGAACTATCCCTTTAAGTGAGAGTAAATGGGGTCAGGCGGTAGATCAGAGGGTCTGTGGCCCCCGTTTTAGCAGCTCTGTCCCCCTCTTTCTTTCACAGTCATGGCCAATCTGCTCCATTTGGCAGGCTGTCTGTTGATATTAGATCACAGTTTGAGAGGTATCAGAAATGTAGGCATAAATAAATCATCTCTGGCAGTCAATGAGTCTGCCGGGGCTGTTTGACTGGCCTTATATCATGAAAGAATTCAAAATGGCTCAACAAGTTATACCAATTAGCCTGGCCAAGGACATGCTGTATAAACTTTCCAGAATCGGGGAGAAAGTGCAGCTTCGTTTAGGCTGTCAGTTTTCTCAATTTTCTCTCGAGTGAATTTATTATTCATCGCTGGATCTGTTTCATCATTTAGATGAGTGATACATATCAAATGAGATGTGATTTCTATTACTGCAGTACTTGTTGAACCCTCAGTATCATTCATCAAGCAAAATAGCTGTCATTTATTTTCCTGACTTTATTATTTTACTGAATGCTTGCCTGGCTATGAAATAATGAGAACAAACAGTGTCACTTCATAACACTTCAATGACAACCAAAATGCTTTTTTTTGGGGGGGGGGGGGAATCTGCATTGCAGTAATGCAGTGTTTGAGTGTGCAGGTTGGAGGGTGTGTGTCTGTATAAAGGCATAGAAGATGCTTATACAGCAAGAGGAAGTGAATTAATGAATGTTTTATTGACTAATTAGAGTATGAATGCACAAAGAGCAAAAGACATAGATCAATGAAGCATTAATGATTTTTAATATAAACAATTTGAATGCTTTAGAGACTCATAATCCACCAAGAAAGGATAGACTAATAGTGAAAGCGTCAACAGGACATGATCAATCTGGAGCTCTGTTCCAGAAACTCTAAGCTGTCTTGCCGTCTACAGCCTATGTATCTATCTGACATGGAACCTCATAACAGATTTAGGGGCAGTTCACACAAAACACATTTTTCCATTCCAATGCACTACTTTTCTACAGTATTTCTATGAGAACACACACTAGACGGATGTGTATGACTGTTGCATTTGCATCTCAGACCTTTTGCAGTGTCTCACACATGAGCGCCACATTTTTAAGACAAATTAAAAGAATTTCAACTTTTACACACAATTTTATCAATGTCAGTAGGTCCAATCAGAACAGTGGTCCAATCAAAAGACTCCGGAGGCGGGGCAAGCGTTGTGAGCTTTTGTTTATAGCAGCAAGTTAGCGTGCACTGTAGAAAATGATCGTGATTTTAACATTAAAAAACTGAAAATGCTACAGTAAAACATGTTAAATGGTTAACGGTAAGTTCCCCTACTATATACGGTGAAAAACTGTAATAGAACTTTTATGTAATTTTATGGTAAAATACCGTTTCATGGAAAGTGGGAAAAAAAAAAAGTATAATTTACAGTGAAAAACCATAAATTGACGTTCGCTTACACGGAACATGTTTTGTCCCCCAATACACTACTTTTCCATAATTTTTCTATGTAAATACACGCTAGATGAACGTTTATGACCGTTGTGCTTGCATCTTTTGCAGCATCTCGCACATGAATACAGTGTTTTGTCAAGTTAAAAGAATTTACATTTTTACATGCAGAAATAGTGTTATAAATGTACATATATTTTTTAAAAATGAAAATATAAAAAAACTTAATGACAATGCTAATGACCAGTGAAACGTGTCACCAGAGATTGTGTAATTAGAATGTCACTTGCTAAGCTTTATAAAAATATGCAGCACACAAATATTTGTTAAAAGGAATTAGATGGAAGTACTTTTAATCAACATTTTACAATATCAGTATTGTTATTGTTAACTAAAAGTATGATTAAACATGATTAAAAAGATTTATTTTGTTAATTGAAATAAAGCTGAAAGAAAAGAAAATATAAATATTAGATTAAAAACTTAAAAATGATAAATGTTGCCTTCTAGGTTAAAGTACTAAAATACTAAAACTGAAATAATAATTCAAGCTTATTAAAGCCAAAAATAAATATGAAAACTAGTTAAAAATAGCAAAAGCATAACAAAATGAATAAAACTTAGATTAAAATTAAAATGAAAACTGAAAATATTAAAATAAAAACAAATATTAGGAATATTAATAAATCCTATAGTAATGCATAAAAAATATTAAAACAACACTGTGAAGTACATATATTACTGATCAGTTTTCTGACACATCATCTTGCACTCATCCTCACATCGTCCCAAACTTTCTTCTGCAGTCTGATGGCATCTCTCATTTTAGGGTCTATCCATTTAATATAATCAATTTTAACTTATTGAAACATTCTCAGAGCATTTACAGCTTGAAACTTCTTACAGTAGCTCAGCTGTTAACAACATATTGTTATTTAGGAACACAAGAAGAAATAAACAGAATAAAGAGAGTCACATGAGAGTCAGTATATGATGACAGAATATTCATTAAAGCAGATTAATAGTACTGTCAAGATGAAGTTGAGATAACTGGAAAAGTGGGAAAAGGTGAAAGAAGGAGAGTGAGTGAGAAAGCATGTTCGGAACAAATGATAACAAGGTCAGAGGAGCTTTCTCCGCTCCCATGTGACTACACACCCGTGCTGTATATGCAGTGAGGTGTGAGGTGAGAGAGCGCGGTGTTGTGAAAAGGTCGCGATGAACTCAGAGGAGACATCTGGCTTTGCCGATGGCTATTTGATGAGGAGCTTCTTAATTTCACTTCACTGAAATCAGCAGAGTCAAAAATCACTGTTAATCTCTAAACACATTAAATTGATCACACTTCATCAAGTCATTTCTGTTGTCAGGGGTGCTGCCATATGGAAATAGAGCACAGGAATATCATGTGCTGGTGTTGTGCATTAATGCAGTCACCTTTAACTTAAAGCTGCAGTGTGTCACTTTTAAGCCGCAAGCAACACCGGAGAGAATAACAAACTATATATTGGCTCAACCAATGACCAGAGATTAAGGCATGAATATGTGTTTTCTACAACACAATGCCTTTAACCCTCAGGTGCTCTTTGTCATTTTTGACAAAAAAAAATGTCGTTCTGGTTTTTTATAATTTTTTTACTACATCAGAATCGTATGAAACTTGGTAAAGATCATGACACTTGCTATGTGAACACCAAAAATAATTATGGACATGATTCAAAAAGGTTAAATGGTCCTGAATAAAAAAAATTA